TGGAGCAGAATTCGAGGAATTGCCCGCCATAAGGTTTGTATGGTTCTGCCAATTTCACTGCTTTTCGAGCAGAACCTGCCACATTTTCGAGCATTATCCGCACACCCCTAGTCACCGGCGCTGACTCTGCCGATCACGGACGTTCTGGAGTCGACGGGATCTCTCTTCCGACGTTTCCTGTGACCGGCGCTGACTCGCCCGTTCAGGATTATTTTGGAGATGACGGGATCTCTCTTCCAAGGTATGGTTTTGCCGACGCATCCTGTCTTTTATTCGGCAACTAACGTCCATTCTAATAGCATTTCCTGGTCTCCTTACTTCGTATTTCTTTACAGAAAATCTCCCTATACAGCAGGGAGTCGTTTACATAATACGAATCCCTGCTATACATCTATATACGTTATAATTAGGGGCCGTCCGTAAATATCGATGTTTTTTTAGAGACGATATTGGTGCTTCTCTCCCTTGACCTCCCCCCCTCCCCCCAGAAGACGCACATGTACATCTAGATCATGGAATCAATATTATTTTTTTGGATGCTCATTTTTTTCCTATATATGCATATAAATACTGCAAACTTGCCACAGGTTATGTCTGTCAGCTAGCTACAGCAACAATATCCTCTTCATGAATGTTCAAAACTATTTTCTCGGGTGAAAATCAGCTCTCCACTGTCTACAACACAGCATGATCGCATGTGCATGGACAGGATCCGACTGCGATGCAGCTCTCCTGGAAGGAAGCAAAGTTCTCCTGTCGCCAATGCCATCCGGCTTGTCAGTGTCACTCAAGAAAAAATAAATTTCAATTTCAGAAGCTACGAATTCAACGCATTCCAGTCTGCTTCCACCAAGACTACTACAGGGCATCTGATTTGACAAGGTATATCAGTAGGACTTGGAAAAGTCACAGTAACAGTTTTACAGTTTGCAAGATCACTAGCCATTACAAAAAGTATCAGAACATCAAAACAAACCTCGTGTAGATCCACAATTTCACATTCAACCCATCGATCTACAAAATAGGTTCCCATTCCCGCCAGCTGGACATGCATGCATGCATGCATGCTCTCACCAGGCCGGGAGTCGTCAAACGCCGGTACTTGACAACTCCCTGGCTCTCACTTGTCAGCCAGCTCACACGTCTTGTCGTGCACGCGCAGACGTCCAGCACACACGCGTGTCGAAATGTGTTTTTTGGCGGGTAGTCGGCAAAAAATTAAGTGAGGGTCCCTTTAGTCCTTCGCTTCCTGAATCCGTTCCTGCCCGTCGTCACTTGACGACGGGCAGGAACGGAACTTGACGACGGGCAGGAACGGATTCAGGAACGGAATCCACTGCGTTCATTGGCTCGAACTTGGCGCGTGTTTCGTACATACAAGGACAACTGAAACGAAAGTGAAAGAGCGACTTGCGCAGCAAAAGATGATTTGATTTGAATCTTTTCACACAGCGGGCTTTTTCACCGAAGGTCGAAAATCGCTGCAACTGGGCCATATTAGAGAGGTTTCGTTTCACGTTGTTCTGCACTACACTGTGAAATTTCACGTCGGTGTGGCAAATTTTGGCGTCGAAACTCCCGTTCATGACGTGAGATGAGGTCGTTCGACGTGAACGCGAGTTTTTGCAAATTAAACCTTGCTATCAGGTTGGGATTATTGACTCGATTTTGTCGAGTTTGCCTAAACTAGCTATAAATAATATTTGTGCGACTTTGGCCTCACCAAAAATCACTTTTTTCACTTTTTGAAGTTTTCGCTACCAGTTTTCGCTCCTGTCGTCAGCGAAACGACGTGCTTCACAAGCAACGTGAAGCGAAAGCTCTTTCTGAGCTCGCGTCAACGCAAAAAATTGACGTTCACGTTAGAGCACAAATCACGCGGGTCGAAACCTCTCTATTATGTAGATCTACGACTCGTAGACTTCTGCCACTGGCCTGCCATTCAAGGCTGCTACCTTCCGCAAAGTAACAGTTAACAGCAGTTCCGGCCACATTTGGTGGATGGATGGACTGCGTGTCGAAGAACCCGGCAAATCTGCTGCAAAAGCAGAACGTCGCACGCCAATTCCGTGGTAACTGTCATCAAGAGTACATAACCCCCCAGAGTGTGCAACGCCTGATCCAGCTCTGCATAGGGTCTTGGTCGAGCGGAATCGGATCTTTGAGTCATAATACCGTACACATCTGAGGGGAACCCGGGGAGTCGCGGGTACTCTTGGATCAAAAACAATGGTGCCCTGCCTCGAGACCGGCCTTGCGCTGGTGTGAAGTGTACGCATGACATCAGAAGATCCGATTCTGCTCGACCAAGACCCTACACAGAGCTGGATCGGCGTTGCACACTCTGGGGGGTTATGTACTCTTGCTGTCATTTGACATGGTAGAGAATGCTTTTTCAGCCCCCGTTCTGCCGAAATATGCTCGACCCCCCAAACAGGCATTTTCTGCCGAAAATTCTGCCGGCATTATCCGCCACGCCCTAATGAGCTCCTCCGAAAAGTTGAGGGAGAGACTGAAACTTGTATTGCGGAGTCGCTCGCGAAGGAGATCTTGGACGAGCCGGATGAGCCTCAACCAAAGCGCGCAATGCTCAGCAACCTGCAGGATCCGCGCAATTTGCCGAGGTTTCCGATCAAGACGTGGGAAAAATCCGTAGGAACAGAACAGCCAGAATGCCCGATGCCCAGTCGACAATGTCAATGGCACCGCGAGAAAAAAGCACTATGGTGCAGTATGGACTACTACAAAAAACTGTACAATGTACCAGAAAACAATCACAAAACACAATGCAGGTGTGTCTGTCATGTATCTCTTTATTTGGCTTGGGTGCACACGGGAAACACGTTCCAGTCACTCATACTCGGCCAGTACCGCTGTTCATCCAGCCCTTGCCGCTATCGCGGCGCGGGCTGGATTCCGCGGTACTGCCCTCGAGGCCTCATACTCGTGCAGGAACCTGTACTTATTATAACAAAGGGACCTCGTGTATATATCGAGATATACACACCAGTTATAAAAACGTCGGCTTCGCCTCGGTTCCTTGTTATAATTATTATGTAGGGACCTCGGTTTTTATAAAAGTTTTTATTGGTCATAAACCCTCGGCCTCCTCATTTATTGTATTTAGAATCGCCAAACGTCGCTATGGTTTATTTTCTGTCACTTTCCTTGGCTCTGACCGCTGGAATGCCCTCCCAGCGGAGGTCCGCTCAAGTTCTTCCTTGCATACCTTCCGTAATTCTGTTCTTCATTTTTTAGGGTACCCTGTCAAAAGGCCTTAGGCCTGTGGGGATTGCCCTATCAAAAATTTAATAATAATAATAATTTTAGAATTGCGATCAACAGAACGAGCTGAACCGACATTTTCACAAAGGCTTTTATTGTATTCAAAAAACGAGTGTATACGAAGGCAGTGAAGAACATGGAAGAAAGAAAAAATGTGATGTGGAAGAAATGATGAACAAAAAATTGTACTTCGAACTAGTTTTCGCACAACACTCCTCAGGAAGCTACGTTGTACTAATGAAAAACAATCCAGAAAGATACTAATAAAGAGAAATGGAGTGAGAAGAAACAACACCTATGAAAATGATAATCCTAGCACTAAGGTAATAACAGGAAAAACTGCGAAAGCACTTAACGAACTTGTAAGGAGGACTACTAGTATACTGTGACACAAGATATGACACCATGGCCAACCAGAGCCACACAGACAGAACAAGTTGCTACTGAAACAATTTCAAACGAATAATGCTGTCCTTCTGGACACACAGATTAGGCTTATGAATACGTTGACAAACGGCTTCTAACACACTCAACTGCAACTTATAACATTTTCATAGGTGTTGTTTCTTCTCACTCCATTTCTCTTTATTAGTATCTTTCTGGATTGTTTTTCATTAGTACAACGTAGCTTCCTGAGGAGTGTTGTGCGAAAACTAGTTCGAAGTACAATTTTTTGTTCATCATTTCTTCCACATCACATTTTTTCTTTCTTCCATGTTCTTCACTGCCTTCGTATACACTCGTTTTTTGAATACAATAAAAGCCTTTGTGAAAATGTCGGTTCAGCTCGTTCTGTTGATCGCAATTCTAAAACTATTGTCGCCTCGACGCCTATTTAAATAATAATAATAATAATAATAATAATCAACCAGTAAAAACTCCTACTCAATCTCCAACAACAAAATTAGTGGACAGCTGTTATTTTGTTGCTATGACAACTCGTGTGCTGGACGAGTATTTGTTGTCATTGGTTCAATTTCTTTTACTCTTCATAGGCTATCAGATCATTTTCCTTATTCGGTCTATTTATAACCAGTGTCTATAATGAGAGTGTGGTCTGTCTCCATGGTTCCCGGTGTTCATTTCATAACTATAGCCACTGCTCCTGGTTAGACCTTATGTGGAAGGCCCATTCTTGCATATTCCAACAGCAGCCAAGGGAGCTAGCTCTCTTGGTACTGGGTCCGCTCCTAAAAAGCTGTTTTTATGAACAGTTACTGTTTTTATTGGATAGGATGATTATGTTGAATAAACGAGGTTTGTGTCAATGGGAGATTGACTTGGAGTTTTTACGAGTTGATTCTAAATACTTATAATGCTTCAGCAAGGACTATTAATAATGATCTCGGTTTGGGGCACTTACAGAGCCACTTACAGAAGTGTTGTGCGCCCACAAGTGGGATCATTTTCAAGTCCACCCATAGTTTGGGGATTTCAGGGATGTGGCCCTGAACCTAACAAATGTGGCAGGTACAACAGTACACCTTCAAGAAGCTAAGCCCGTTGATAACAGACCTGGCAACACTATCTGGCACATGTGTACCCAGTAGCTGCTACCCCCCCCCCCCCCCCCCACACACACGCGTAAGCAAGCATGCACACACACGCACGCATGCACGCACGCACACACACACTGACATGAACAAGCACGATCAACGGAAATAGGCCTGTATTAGCGATGGACGCGTTGACAGCCATCCAAAGTCTGTGGCATCTCAAGGAGAGTGGATACTGTTCATTCATACTGTGATAGGAGAAGGCACAATTCTACATAAATACATCAAAGCTAGAAGAGAACCAATGAAACTAATACACGGGTACGGGTTTACTACCATCTTGTCCTGGCGGATGCGGAAAACTCGGCTTCCAGCCGAGTCTCGCGCGAACCGTGAAATTATTTTTTATTCTTTTGTCCTGTAAACAATACAGCAAGATGGTGCGTAAATGCAGCCAGTGCAGCTCAAGATATCTTGTAGTAAGAAGGAGAGAAAAAAGAAAGAAAGGGATAGATGGAAAGAGAGAGAGAGAGAGAGAGGGAGGGAGGGAGAGAGAGGGAGAGAGAAGCAAGAACGAGTAGAAATCAATGTGCCAGTGGGAGTAGAGTGTAGTTTCGCGTAATATTAGGTACATGATTTTCAGTGACGGGTGTACAAGGTGCACTAATGTACCAAGTACACTGGTGGCGGTGTCATGATGCCAGCACAGTGCCGCACAGTGATGTTCGACCTACTCATATTCAAGTCTTAGACAACCAAATCAATTTGGGCTGAATTGAGATTTAGATACTCCTCTGGAAGAAATATACTACCTGCCTACATAATATTGAAGGAAAAAGACGAAACTAGGAAAAAACGCAAATACTTTAATCAGTGGATAAATGGTTGAAACAGGAATGAGTTCTCTCTGAGAAGATATCGTCACTAGTCTTAGATGAGTCCATCAATGCTCTTGTTGCGCAGGGCCTTTGAGCGGCGAGTGGATGTATTGGTGGCAGACGATGCAGCCGCTGCCATCTGATACGGTGTTAGAGGCTCATACTCCTTGTCTCCGAGCTCGGTGACGTTAGCTGTCTTTGTGGTTCGATTCTTGGAGACGGTTCTCTGCGATGCTCGCATACTTTCAGAAGCCAGTCTGCTGCTTGCCACGGCCTTGGCAATCTCAGCCTCTACATCGACAAAGTCAGCTTCGCCAAAGTCAATACTATCGCTGGGTGAGATTGGTTCCGGCTCTTCAGTTTGGAAGTTGCGTGTACTCTGGATGGGTGCACGTTCGTAGTGGACAGCTGAGCCGACATTCTGCTCCGTGTTGTCGTCGTCAGCAAAGAAGGATTGAGTGCTGGTCATGCTGTGCACGCTGACAAATGATGTGCTGGCGTTGAGTGGATTCGATGCTCCCTCGGCCTCGGTCCGGATGCTTGTGCTGGATGGAGTTGACAACATGTTGTTGCTACGAGCACCCGCTTGTGCAAGTCCAACGTTTTCGGTGAATGTCGAGTGTGACGGATGCATTAGTGTATAGTTGTCGCCATTTGTGGAAGAAAACTCTTGCTGTTCTTGCTGATGACTTGAGAAGGTAGACGGACGCTGCTGCTGCAGCTGCTGGCGCGGCTGCTGTTGTCGACTATTGGAGACAAGCATCTGTTGGTCCCCTGCTCTCTTTGGTACAGAGTATTGGTGATGTTGTTCTTGCTGATCATTGGACACAATTGCATGTACTTGGGCAGAAGCTTGTTTAGGGGCGGAGTACGTTTGTTGGTATTGTGAACCATCGGAAACGACTGCCTGCTGTTGGTCAACGGCTTGTCTAACAGTGGAATATTGCTGCTGCTGCTGCTGTTGACTGGTCAAGACATCGACCTGCTGGTCAACAGTTTCAGCAGAGTAAAGATGTTGTTGTTGAACATTGGAGACGCTGGCCTGTTGTTGACCAGTGGCTTGCTGAAGAGTGGAGTGTGAATGTTGTTGTGGTTGAGCATTGGAGACATTGGTTTGTTGTTGGCCAGTGGCTTGTTGAACAGTGGAGTATGAACCGGAGACGTTGCTCTGCTGTTGAAGAGTCGAGTATGAATTTCCTTGCTGCTGTTGTTGTTGTTGTTGTTGTTGTTGTTGTTGTTGTTGTTGACTGGTCAAGACATCGACCTGTTGGTCAACAGTTTCAGCAGAGTAAAGATGTTGTTGTTGAACATTGTAGACGCTAGCCTGTTGTTGACCAGTGGCTTTCTGAAGAGTGGAGTGTGAATGTTGTTGTTGTTGAGCATTGGAGACATTGGTTTGTTGTTGACTAGTGGCTTGTTGAAGAGTGGAGTATGAACCGGAGACGTTGCTCTGCTGTTGAAGAGTCGAGTATGAATTTCCTTGCTGTTGTTGTTGTTGTTGTTGTTGTTGACTGGTCAAGACATCGACCTGTTGGTCAACAGTTTCAGCAGAGTAAAGATGTTGTTGTTGAACATTGGAGACGCTAGCCGGTTGTTGACCAGTGGCTTGCTGAAGAGTGGAGTGTGAATGTTGTTGTTGTTGAACATTGGAGACATTGGTTTGTTGTTGGCCAGTGGCTTGTTGAACAGTGGAGTATGAACCGGAGACGTTGCTCTGCTGTTGAAGAGTCGAGTATGAATGTCCTTGCTGTTGTTGTTGTTGTTGTAGTTGTTGTAGTTGTTGTTGTTGAACATCGGAGACATTGGCCTGTTGTTGACCAGTGGCTTGTTGAACAGTGGAATATGAATGTTGTTGTTGTTGTTGAACATTAGAGACATTGGCCTGTTGTGGATGAGCATTGGAGACATTGGCCTGTTCTTGAAGAATGGCATATAAATTTTGTTGCCGTTGAGCATTAGAGACATTGGCTTGTTGTTGACCACTGGCTTGTTGAAGAGTGGAGTATGAATCGGAGATGTTGCTCTGCTGGTGAAGAGTCGAGTATGAACGTCCTTGCTGTTGTTGGTGTTGTTGTTGTTGTTGTTGTTGTTGTTGTTGTTGTTGTTGTTGTTGTTGTTGTGAGATAATGGCCTGTTGCGGTATATTTGCTATGTTTGGAACAGAATATTGATATTGCAGCTGTTGCTGGTCACCGAAGACAGTAGGCCGCTGTTGGCGGACTGATTGCTGTCGCTGTACTGTCATGTCCAATACAGTGGTGCCAGACTTAGGCACGGTAGAGGTTGGGGAGCTGACAGCTGCTCTGCTATCTGTCCTGACAAAGCTGCTCCGCATTGCTGCGCCAGTCTTGTCAGTTGAGCTGGTCTTTTCGTGTTCTTCTTCTTCACCTTGTGAAATCCAGACTGGCATACTGTTAGCGGGTGCTTTGTTAGCCGAGTTGTCGGCAAGTACGTGTGATTCAGCCTCTTCCACAACACTACCCTCATCAGCACTCCAAATGCTCATGGAGTCTTTGAGGTATGCAGTGGAGCGCCACGTTTCGTCCATCATTTCAGTTTCCGGATGATCATCTTTCATAAAGGTGTCAACTTCTGCAAAAGTGGAAGGAGGGTCATAATCATCGTTTCTTTGCTGCAGGTTGAAAGTAAAATCATCTTCCTTGAAGGAAGACAAGTGGCTAGATCCAGATTTACTTTGTTGCCGCACTAATCCTGCCTTGTCCTCTGATACAAGCCAGTTACTAAGAACAACAAAATGCCATACACATGCACATGCACATGGACAGATAGACAGACAGACAAACACACACACACACACACACACACACACACACACACACACACACACACACACACACACACACATACGCACAGAAAGACATTCATAGATATGCATGAATGCATCACTGAACCAATATCAGAGATAGATAGATAGACAGACAGACAGACAGACAGACAGACAGATATATAGGTAGATAGGTATATAGATAGAGAGATACAGGGGGAAGTGGTTCCGTCCACCGCAAAGAGGGCTCAACAGCGCTGGGGTGCACTGGAGCTAGTACACAATGCAAGCGGTCCTCACCAAGAAAACACAATCCGTTGCTACTCCGAGTTTCTTGATAGAGAGATAGATAGATAGATAGATACTTCCTCCGCTAACAAAACTTCGTGATGGATTTTGATCGATATGGAAGCGCTTAGAACAGGTCAAGAACAGCTTGTATCGACTGTAGATCCTGTGAAGAGCACCTTTACAAAGAGAAACTGTTGGCGGAATGAGCAGAGAGTTCAGTTTGTGTCGCTTTTGCTTGACTCATTTTTGACCCTGCGTCGCTGTCGTCATCTGCTGCACGTGAGTCGTCATCTCTCTTGAGTCGTTGTTCAGTTCGTTTCAGCCTTGCCTCGGCTTCTTTGATCACAATCCACTGAACTTTGGTGATGCCGCCATAGTTCAAGTTGGCTTTTAAGCTGCGTGATCCGCCGCGGTAACGATGACTTGTTTCCACCAGGGAGTCGTAAAAATATTTTACGGATCCCTGGTTTCACCTCCACTCTCCAGAACTCAGCGAAACGAGGAGTAAAGGTACAGCAAACTGACTCCATGTTCTCTGATGGATACTACTGCCAGCACTGAACGGCAGCGGCTAGCAAGTTCAGTTGACTTTCCTTAGCCAAGAGACTCGCGTCGGATTGCAGACTTCTGAAAGCATGTATGGTCATCATCATTCGAATCTGGGCTTTGCGCAGGTTGAACAAGAACTTGAGTTCAGAATTATTTCATTTCATGCGATTCGAGCAGCTGCTTGTTCACTCGCTCATTGTGTGGGCTCGCTGCTTCGTTTCATCGCTCACTATCACTCTGAAACTTAGTGTTAGAGTAGTGGACAAGCCAAGCAGCGCATTATCCACTCGGAGAAATGGTATTTCAGTTTCGCTCGCCATGACTGACACCTACGTTGCCACACAGCGCAACCATCGATTCCGCTGGACTTGTTGCGAAAGGTCGCTTACCTTGCATCATACCTCTTTCATGGCATGACAGGGAAGACCGAAAAAGTGATCGCGACTCATTTCACGGCAGTTTATGCGCAAACCAGTCACTCAAAAATCCACCACAAAGTTTTTTTGTTATCGGAGGAAGTAGATAGATAGATAGATAGATAGATACAATGATCATACAGCAATGAAGGAAATAAATCTTTTTCCGCCGTTACTCGGAGTTTCGTGTGAAACATTCATCAGACAGTAGATAGATGCTTAGATAGATAGATAGATAGATAGAGAGTGAGTGAGAGAGAGATAGAGAGATAGATAGATAGATAGAGAGAGAGGGAGCGAGAGAGAGAGAGAAAGGGAGGGAAGGAGAAGGAGGGAGAGAGAAAGAGAAAAAAGATAACACAGTTCTTACTCCCTTCCGAAAGGAGGGCAATGAACAAAGAAGATGTAGGCTAAATCACAAAATAACCTTGTTTCGGGTCGGCCGGCCGAGTCATTTTTCTCCTGAGTCTGAAACTTGTTTTGGTTTGTGTCGTAATATCCGGACTCTATTATGCGTACACTACTGTACACTTATGACTGTATGCGTTGCATGCTGTATGTACGTCACACAGGCCGTTTCCCGTAGGCCAGAACTTTGATGTGCTTCACTGGCTCGGGACTTCTCTTGTTCTTCACTTACCTACTGGTTGTGCATTTCTTGCTCCTCATTAGTTTACTCGTCCATGTCTCCTTGTCCATATTGAGAATAATACTACATGGCGTCAGGATTGGGCTGCTGATAATGATGGCTGGATTTTCTATTTCATCCATGAGATGGGAGTCAGACAACCTCCCGGAGGAATTCGCCTCGTTTAGGCAGTATTGTGAATTGATTTTCGGAGGTCCGTACTCAGCGAAGTCGGCGAAAGAGCAATGCTCATCTATCCTCCTTTGGATAGGCCGATCTGGTGTGGACATCTACAATTCCTGGACATTTGCAGACGAAGCTGACCGCTTCAAAGTGGACGAATTACTTTCCCGTTTTCAGGCCCACCTGCAGCCGAAAGTGAACGCGTGGCTGGCCCGTTTCCAGCTTCAACAGCAACGGCAAAATGTGGGAACTTGGCAGTGAAGTGCAAATTTGCCGATGCCGGTGAAGTCAACACCTGTTTGCTAGAGCAGCTGATTGTCGGCAGCCGACATAAAACGGTACAGGAGAAGCTGTTGGAGAAGGGCGACCAGTTGTCGTCTCTTGACGAAGGGCTGGAAGTTGCGAGGACACACGAAGCTACAGCTACCCAGATGGCTCAGCTAACCGGGTCTCGCTCCGCCAGTGTTAGCCCTGCTGACATATCCTTTGTTAAAAAGTCTGCTCCGAAGAGATCCAAGGATTTCAAGAAAAAAAAAAGAGTTGTCAATTCTGTGGGAAGGAAGACCATGATCGTGCAGTATGCCCAGCTCGATCAGCTGAGTGTAATTTCTGTAAGAAACAAGGGCACTTTGCTACTGTGTGCCGGAAGAAGCAACGATCGTGTGACGCTGTACATCTGTGCCGCCAGATAGGCATGCCCCTGGTATGTTTCTTGGCAGCGTTGATGCCGGACGCGACCCTTGGTCCGTGTCGGTGGAAGTCAACAATTCCCCAGTCACGATGAAGATCGACACCGGAGCCGATGTCTCTGTAATTCCAGCAAGTATATTCCGCCTGTTAGAAGTGCAGGCCCTGCGACCCAGTCATCGTACCCTGATGTCTGCTAACTCAAGCGTCCTCGACGTAGCTGGCGTGTTCGACGCAATGGTAACACATGCGGGCAAGTCGTCTCGACAAGAGATTTTCGTTGCCAACAACCTCAAGCAGGCCTTTCTAGGACGCCCTGCAATAGTCGCTTTGGACCTCCTGGACGTCAAGGCTGACATCTCTGAAGTATCGAGCGGTATTCGCGACACCGCGACAGCACGAGCTGCATACCCCGATTTGTTCAAACCTCTCGGCAGGTTCACCGGAGAACCTCACTGCATTCGCCTCGAAGAAGGTGCCAAACCATTTGCTCTGTCCTGCCCGTGCGACAATGTGGCAATACCGCTAATGCCGATTGTTAAAGCGGAGCTTGAGAAGATGGAAAAGCAAGGCGTCATCGTCCCTGTCGACGAACCAACTGATTGGTGTGCTGGCCTTGTTGTTGTCGCCAACCTGGAGGGGAGGCAGTCCGTCTGTGCGTTGACTACACACGTCTCAACCAACACGTTCGTCGTGAGCAGTTCGTCTTGCCGGCGGTAGACCACACGCTGGGTCAGTTGGGCGGTGCCAAGTATTTCACAAAGCTTGACGCCAACTCTGGGTTTTACCAAGTGCCCTTGGCCAAGGAATCCCAGAAGTTGACCACGTTTATCACCCCGTTTGGGCGTTTCATGTTCACGCGTCTACCATTCGGTATTTGTTCGGCTCCCGAACATTTTCAGAAACGAATGGCTCGGATCTTGAACGGTGTGGTTGGTACCGCATGTCAGATGGACGACGCTCTAGTGTTCGGTAGCACTGAAGAGGAACATGATAACCGGCTGCACCAGGTGCTACAACGGCTCAGCGACAACGGCGTCACACTCAACCCGGACAAGTGTCTCTTCAAAGTCACTTCTGCTAAGTTCTTGGGTCATATTATTGACCAAGACGGCATCCACTCTGATCCCCAGAAGGTGCAGGGCATTCAAGACTTCACGCCATGCCAGGATGTCTCGGATGTGAGAAGCTTTCTCGGCCTCGTCAACCAGCTTGGCAAGTTCTCTCCCTCACTTGCTTCCGTCTCACAGCCGATCCACGACCTTCTCAAGAAAGGCAATACTTGGTCCTGGGGACCCCTCAGCAATCGGCATTTGAAGAGATTAAGGCTCTTCTGTCGTGTACGCCTGTTCTTGCTCTGTACTCTCCCGAGTACCCAACTATTGTCTCTGCAGACGCCTCGAGCTATGGTCTCGGTGCCGTTATCAAGCAGCAACAGCCGTCCGGCGATTGGAAACCTGTATCGTTCCAGTCTCGTGCGCTACTGCCGGCAGAGCGTCGCTATGCTCAAATAGAAAAAGAAGCTCTTGGCCTCACCTGGGCTTGCAACCGATTCTCAGATTACCTCATCGGTAAGAGATTCACGCTGGAAACCGATCACAAGCCTCTGGTGCCCCTGTTCAGCACCAGTGCTCTCGACTCTATCCCTCCACGTGTACTTCGGTTCCGGCTCAACCTGATGCGATTTGATTTCGACATCGTACACATCCCTGGCAAAGATCTAATCGTTGCTGATGCATTATCTAGGTTACCTGCGTCGCGTCCTCTGTCCGCCGATGACGTCCGCCTCCTCGACGACGCGGAAGCTTTTCTCGACAGTGTGGTTTCTCATCTCCCTGCGTCCGATGCAAGACTGAGTGAGATTCAACACCAGCAGGCTCAAGACCCAGTGTGTCAACATCTTGTGCAGTACACTCTGTCCGGTTGGCCAAGTTTACAGTCTGCTCCAGTGTCCGTTAAGCCCTACTACGCATCCCGGCAGTCATTCTGAATCACAGATGGCCTACTCCTGTACGGTTCCAGAATCGTCATCCCGCACCAGCTCCGTCCAGAAGTCCTCCAGCAGCTCCATGCTGGTCACCTCGGCATCACGAAGACCCGCGAAAGGGCTCGCCAGTCAGTTTGGTGGCCAGGTCTAAGCGCCCAGTTGGCTGATATCGTGTCCAATTGCCAAGCCTGCGCTCGTGACAAGCCAACGCCAATGGAGCCCCTGCTGTCCTCACGTCTTCCTGAGTTCCCGTGGCAGGAAGTCGCTGCCGATTTCATGCAGTTCCAAGGCTCTCAGTACCTGGTTGTCGTTGACTACTACTCCCGATGGATCGAGCTTGCTCAGATGTCCCGTACTTCTGCAGCTTCTCTCATCACGCAACTGAAGTCCATGTTTGCGCATCACGGCAATCCAGATGTGTTTGTTTCGGACAATGGTCCCCCATTCACAAGTGCAGAAGTTTCAGCATGGCTTCAAGAGCAAGGAACCACCCAGCGCACGAGCAGCCCTCTTCATCCGCAAGGCAACGGCTTAGTGGAACGCGCAGTGCAGACCCTAAAGCATTTGCTGGTGAGGGGAGGTGATCCGTATGTTGCTCTGCAGAGCTATCGTGCCTGTCCACTAGCACATGGCTTCAGTCCTGCGGAACTCCTCATGGGCCGCCGCATCCAGACGGGTTTACCCATGTCTGCAGACGTTCGACGGCCATACCTCGTAGATCGCACAGCGTTTGCTGCCAAAGACGCCTCTCTGAAGTCCCGGCAAGCGTCGGATTTCAACTCCCGCCATCGCGCTCTCGATGCTACGCCACTGGTCCCGGGTACCGCTGTCTTTGTTCCGGATAGGAAAGAGCCTGGTATTGTCACTGCCGAGCATTCCACCAGGTCGTTTATCGTGGAGACGCCGTCCGGTTCGGTTCTCCGCCGCAACCGCAGTGACCTCATCGCCGATCCGCCTGCAGGTCCTGCTAATGACGCTGTGGACAATGGTGAGCCAGCATCACCCGTCCAACGTCCATCTCCAGCTACTCCCGTCCCGAAGCGTTCCGGTAGAGTTACCCGTTCTGGACGTGCCGTTCATACTCCTATCAGATTCCGTTAATCATTTAGCGTTACTCTTTCGTCTTCAGCATTATTCCTGTTTTGCTAACTTATCGCTCTCTTGCTGCGCGCCCTGAAAGGGGAGATGTCGTAATATCTGGACTCTATTATGCGTACACTACTGTACACTTATGACTGTATGCGTTGCATGCTGTATGTACGTCACGCAGGCCGTTTCCCGTAGGCCAGAACTTTGATGTGCTTCACTGGCTCGGGACTTCTCTTGTTTTTCACTTACCTACTGGTTGTGCATTTCTTGCTCCTCATTAGTTTACTCGTCCATGTCTCCTTGTCCATATTGAGAATAATACTACAGTTTGCACATGTGTACGATCGGTGCCTGGAGCCTGTAGGATGCTAGCGAACTGCTCATTTGTACCGTGCATACGTATAGCATGCCTATATCCAGTACTAGCCTGGAACCTATTTACAGAGAGTCTTGTGAGTGTTATATTCACAGCCATCCCAAGACACGTCGAGCAGGAGAACAATATTATTACATATTCTCAGAGATGGAAAGTTCGACTGACCAGGAACACAGCATGGTCAAGAGAAAGAGAACTGAGTGTGACGCGTACGGTACGGGACTACACGTGACCAAATAATGACATCATAACATACCATAACTGACATCATAAGAAACCATACCTGTGAGGATGTATGGATTTAGTGTTTTGGGAGTGGATTCAAATGAGGAGTGGGACAGGAAGGAGCAGCCATCATTCTAGCTATCACATTTTTCCATTCCTTAAAAGAAAAGAGACTTACACATGTTTGCGGACATTTTCTTCCTGAATTGGCAATGCTCCACGTGTGCGCAAGTAAACAAATCCAGCTACAGCAATGAGCATGGTGCCAGCCACACCAAGTAGAGCGACGATAACGCCAATACTTGGGCCAGCCTTCTCACTAGCTCCACCAGGCCCGCTGCCTAATTTAGTGTTGTTAGTTGTAGCCGTTGGGCCTACATTGGAAGAAAACGGACAGGAAACAATGTAATGCTTCTTCGCTTTTCTTTCTTTTAAAGAACCAGGCTTGAGCCTATTTTGCTTGAGAATGGCTACTAAAACGGTTACTAAGCATCAATAGTACACTGTCATGTGACTACGGTATCGGTTAGTGTTACATACTAATAGTACACTGTCATGTGACTACGGTATCGGTTAGTGTTACATACTAATAGTACACTGTCATGTGACTACGGTATCGGTTAGTGTTACATACTAATAGTACACTGTCATGTGACTACGGTATCGGTTAGCGTTACATACTAATAGTACACTGTCATGTGACTACGGTATCGGTTAGCGTTACATACTAATAGTACGCTGTCATGTGACTACGGTATCGGTTAGTGTTACATACTAATAGTACACTGTCATGTGGCTACGGTATCGGTTAGTGTTACATACTAATAGTACGCTGTCATGTGACTACGGTATCGGTTAGTGTTACATACTGATAGTACACTGTCATGTGACTACGGTATCGGTTAGCGTTACATACTAATAGCACACTGTCATGTGACTACGGTATCGGTTAGTGTTACATACTAATAGTACACTGTCATGTGACTACGGTATCGGTTAGTGTTACATACTAATACAGTCTGTATCGGCTATAGCGTACCCTTTTGATTTCCGTGATTTTATCACTATAACCGATGCATCACTATATGCGATACGATCGATTTTTTTCTTTTTTCAATCTACGCATGAAAGGCAAGGAAATACAATGTACTTCCGGCATGGCGTTTTGACAAATGAGCATGCTGCATACATTGTAGTTGACAGTGCCCGCATTTCCATAAAAAATTCTGTTATGTGCATGTACATGTATCACTATCAAAATAAGCTACGTGAAGAAAGTTTAAAAAAATAGGGCCTTTGATATTATTGCTACATGTATTTTAAAGTTATCACTATAGCCGATAATAATATAGTGTGTTGTGCATGTTTTGATTCTTTGTTGCCATCATAGTATCCGATATATCATTACATCCGATAATATTGGTTATAGTGATATTTGGCAATAAATAAGATAAATTGTGCACTCATAACAACAGCAAAAATGAAGAAAGTCCAGTTCCATAACGTTTTCTTGTGACTGTCATCAGTGGAACGCCGTCACATAAAAATGTAATAACTAAAACACACACTTATATACATGTAGCTAATATGGTTTCAGGTAGAAATACAGCAGCTAACAAGTACAAAAAGCGAAGTTTGCACCTTTGCAATGTGTGAATATAGTGTATGTGAGAAAGGTAGTGGCAGATGAATGTGATACTGTGTGAATGAATGTAATGGTGCGTGTGTATTACTTGAAGAGTGTGAGTGATACAACGTTTTCTTTCTGTTTGCATAGCACAGGGTCACGAGTACGAATATACACAGCTTCCAACACCTGCAATTGCTTGAAGAAACGTGCGCAACGAATAACACTAAACCAGGAATCGTCAAACACCTTACGACATTCTGGACTGGACACCAAATGCTTGTACACTGCAGACTTCCTCTTGTCAACATCAAACTCCTCCTCATCACTACTCTCATCCTCCACCTCCATTCCAATGCCGCCGTCCATCCCATCGCACTCGTATTCGTCGTCATCAGTCTCCATCTCCTCGCAACACCGCTTCCCTCTCCTTGATTCGTTCTGTGCCGTGCCTGTGCTTCCTCCTGCGTCTCCTTGCCTTGTGTTCTCCACTTGTCTCAGTCGTGCCTCTGCTAGTCTCTTGCTTCTCCTCGGTTCTGCTCTGTTTTCAAGTTGTTCCCCTTCCGCTCTTACCGTTGTAGCAACATGGTTTGTCGAGGAGCGACCGTCCGGCGGCCTCCCTTGCCGTGGTCCGGTTTCCGAGCCGGAAACCAGATTAGTCTGCTCGTTCTCCATGGAAGTAGTCGGTGCTTCTGTTTCCGAATTGTGAGCCAAGCAAGCCAAGAAGCAAGAGACTAGCAGAGGCACGACTGAGACAAGTGGAGAACACAAGGCAAGGAGACGCAGGAGGAAGCACAGGCACGGCACAGAACGAATCAAGGAGAGGGAAGCGGTGTTGCGAGGAGATGGAGACTGATGACGACGAATACGAGTGCGATGGGATGGACGGCGGCATTGGAATGGAGGTGGAGGATGAGAGTAGTGATGAGGAGGAGTTTGATGTTGACAAGAGGAAGTCTGCAGTGTACAAGCATTTGGTGTCCAGTCCAGAATGTCGTAAGGTGTTTGACGATTCCTGGTTTAGTGTTATTCGTTGCGCACGTTTCTTCAAGCAATTGCAGGTGTTGGAAGCTGTGTATATTCGTACTCGTGACCCTGTGCTATGCAAACAGAAAGAAAACGTTGTATCACTCACACTCTTCAAGTAATACACACGCACCATTACATTCATTCACACAGTATCACATTCATCTGCCACTACCTTTCTCACATACACTATATTCACACATTGCAAAGGTGCAAACTTCGCTTTTTGTACTTGTTAGCTGCTGTATTTCTACCTGAAACCATATTAGCTACATGTATATAAGTGTGTGTTTTAGTTATTACATTTTTATGTGACGGCGTTCCACTGATGACAGTCACAAGAAAACGTTATGGAACTTGACTTTCTTCATTTTTGCTGTTGTTATGAGTGCACAATTTATCTTATTTATTGCCATTTTACGACTATTGTCTCCTCGTCGACTGTTTAAATAGTGATATTTGTACTGGATAAAATACGTTTTGCTTTTGATATTTCGTACCAATATCACTGTAGCCGGTATATTCTTATATCCGGTCACTCTATAGCCGATACAGACTGTAGTACACTGTCATGTGACTACGGTATCGGTTAGTGTTACATACTAATAGTACACTGTCATGTGACTACGGTATCGGTTAGCGTTACATACTAATAGTACACTGTCATGTGACTACGGTATCGGTTAGTGTTACATACTAATAGTACACTGTCATGTGACTACGGTATCGGTTAGCGTTACATACTAATAGTACACTGTCATGTGACTACGGTATCGGTTAGTGTTACATACTAATAGTACACTGTCATGTGACTACGGTATCGGTTAGCGTTACATACTAATAGTACACTGTCATGTGACTACGGTATCGGTTAGCGTTACATACTAATAGTACACTGTCATGTGACAACGGTATCGGTTAGCGTTACATACTAATAGTACACTGTCATGTGACTACGGTATCGGTTAGCGTTACATACTAATAGTACACTGTCATGTGACTACGGTATCGGTTAGTGTTACATACTAATAGTACACTGTCATGTGACTACGGTATCGGTTAGTGTTACATACTAATAGTACACTGTCATGTGACTACGGTATCGGTTAGTGTTACATACTAATAGTACACTGTCATGTGACTACGGTATCGGTTAGCGTTACATACTAATAGTACACTGTCATGTGACTACGGTATCGGTTAGCGTTACATACTAATAGTACGCTGTCATGTGACTACGGTATCGGTTAGTGTTACATACTAATAGTACACTGTCATGTGACTACGGTATCGGTTAGTGTTACATACTAATAGTACACTGTCATGTGACTACGGTATCGGTTAGTGTTACATACTAATAGTACACTGTCATGTGACTACGGTATCGGTTAGTGTTACATACTAATAGTACACTGTCATGTGACTACGGTATCGGTTAGTGTTACATACTAATAGTACACTGTCATGTGACTACGGTATCGGTTAGCGTTACATACTAATAGTACACTGTCATGTGACTACGGTATCGGTTAGTGTTACATACTAATAGTACACTGTCATGTGACTACGGTATCGGTTAGTGTTACATACTAATAGTACACTGTCATGTGACTACGGTATCGGTTAGTGTTACATACTAATAGTACACTGTCATGTGACTACGGTATCGGTTAGTGTTACATACTAATGTCACATTATCATCCAGGTTTTACTGTGAATACCAACATATGATCACAACGTGATCACAGAAGAATGACGAAGGAGGAGACCCAGTGTGACGGCAACACTGGACGTTACCAATATCGATGAGGACGATGATGGAACTGGCACCAATGGAGGAGATTCTAGCCAAGTGAGTTGAGTGAGGAAGAGAGTGTGGGCGTGAGAGAGTGTGGGTGTGAGAGAGTGTGGGTGTGAGAGAGTGTGGGTATGAGAGAGTGTGGGCGTGAGAGATTGTGGGCGTGAGAGATTGTGGGAGTAAGCATGGGCGTGTGCTTCGACCTCGTACATCATTTGGTTATCTCACCCTGATTGCTGACAAGTGTATTCTGATTCGTGTTTCTCCGTTTCGGGATCCAGCGGAGGATGCAGCCATGCAGTACAGTGTGCCGACAGTGCTGAACACCGTGGCACGTAGAGCATAATACACAGAACAATAAGGGTAAGCAAGACTTGTTTGTGGCTACTCTGAGTTTCATGCTGTAACGCAATCATCAGACAACGTAAGGATGCTATTAGCCATGTCGGTATTTGCGCCAGGAGAGATATTGGTGGATTTTGTGGTGCCTACGTTATGCACGGGGTGCTGATCTGGTAGTGTTAAAAGCGCTGTGTTGAAAGGGTGAAGGTGGGGTCTGAGGTTTCAGGGCTAGCAGTAATAATAGCAATAGTAGCAATATCTCTCCTGGTTTAAATACCGGCATGGCCAGTAGCATCCTCATGTTACCTGGTGATTGCGTAAGCATGAAACTCTGAGTAGCGACAAGTTAGCCTTGCCTGCCCTTGCTGTTCGGTGTCTATTGCCATCCATAACACCTAGCAAGAGTAGCATACTAGTGTTAATGCTGGAACTCTACTTTCTCTTTTCTTGCTCCCAGCCCCGTGTCGTCTCCACACTTATACACTGGACGACAAGATACCACGTACACACGACGTATACACTGGACGACAAGATACCACGTACACACGACGTATACAAAATAATGTACTACAACATTACTCCCTCCCAACAGTAGAACTGTCCTCGATTCTAATAAAAAAATCAGAGTAAAAAGAGGAATAGGTCAAACAAATCTCTCAATCATGCCACACCAGTCACACTCAGAAATAAAAAGTCCGCCTGCACTGCAGATTATAAAAAATCCGTCTGCCCACCCAGAACACCAGCCATGACCACCGTCATACATGTGGGAAATGATAACTTCAAAAACTCTAAACTGATTCACACAACACACCACCTCACGGTCACGCAAAAATTCTACTGTGGGAGAGCACAAATCATAGGAATAACAGAAACAGGGGTGGATCCAGGATTTTTCCAAGGGGGGGGGGGGGGGGGTCAATTTTTTCCCACCCTACCTTCAGGCCTGTGGGGATTACCCTATCAACAAATGTAATAATAGTAATAACGTGTACTTACCCATGATGAGAAGGGAGCGAAAACGTTCGGTTACCAAAGTGGCTTACTTGACTGTGTGGATTGCGTCGGTGCTGTCACCTTTTCTTTCGAAATAATAATCCACAATGACGAAATGATGACATACACAGGTACATGATTGTATAACAAGTTCACACGTTCGCGTTATCGGTACAGCACCAAATAATACTTGAACATGCCAGTTGCTATACAAATGTAACTTCAGTACCCTTGTTTCAACACTCTGCAGCTAAAACATTATTGAAGACACGTAGCAAGGAAGACATTTTCAATTTCTTTACCGCACAATAGCTGATTGGTACTTTCCGACTCCAGCAGCTGGTCTGTAATAATTGTCCACAATTGTGTACTCTGAGCCGCCCGATGTTGACTCCACTGTACAGTAGGTTCCATATAAGGCAGGCTTCCTGCATATTTCGTGTCTCAGTCATAATTGTCCCCATTTTGGAGAAATTTTGATTATTGGATGATAGGACGTTGAACTTGAAGGTGATTTTCAAGTTTCGCTCTTTGTTTTACCTTCGATACTAGTGGCTACACTTTTCTTTGGAGTGTCACCAAAATTCAATGGCAGCTGGTCTTGATCCTGCCTCTTTTAGATGCTTCGACGAACTCTAAGGGCTCATAAAGCACGAGCCATGACGACAATTACAACACTGCACGGCCACTATTCAGGATCTAGTTTTGAAACTAATACTAGTACTTACTTTCGAAGTTTCCGCAGCAGCTCAACAAATGTATGCACCTCTTTCTCCTCTTTCTCCTCTTTCTCCTCTTTCTCCTCTTTCTCCTCTTTCTCCAAAGCGAACGCGTAGATATACTGTAAGACATGTTATTATAACGAGTCGCAAATTTAACGATTGTCCAAAATTCATAGGTTAACGAGAAGATATGTTAACGATCTTGCAGTATTCTGCCATATCCACACACAGCATATATGAAGCAGTACGGCCTCAACGGATCTTATTAGAACGAAGAAATGTCATTCCTTAAAACGTTAGATTTGTTTCCTCGTTATATACATGTCTGACAGTAGATCTACATTCAGTGCAGATCTACTTTAGTCTTTGTATTATCTACAGCTACATACAAGACAACCATGTTCAATGTCATAATTATAGATCTACCAAGCTGCATAGCTAGCGGACCGCTCTGGCCTGCAGGCCATAGCATGGGGCGAGCACGTCACACGGGCATGGGTTCGTGGTCACACCCGAACTATGGTCGGAAAAAATCAGGGGGGGGGGGTCGTTCGAAGCAGTGGAAAGAAAGAAATCACGCAGCGCTGTTTTTTGGATCCGCCCCTGAAAAAGAACAAAATCCACTGGCTCTGTGGAGGCCTCTAGTTATCCTCATAGAAGAGCAAATCAAAAAAATGAACAGAACACATGCGCTGACGTGTGCGGACACCTCTTTATGCTCGAGGAGAGCAAAATAATAAAGAACAAAATGTTGGGAGAACAGAAAATACAAAACTCACATTCTCATCACGTTCACAACACCACACGTACCCTCTCACCGACGAAACTCCTCACGCCGCCATTTTGTCCGCAGCGAGCGCTGTTCAACATGGACATCTTGTTCCCTTGCCACATCAATTGACTTCTCCATTTCCTTTCGTTCCTTCTTTTTTTGAGTTTTTTTCTTCTGGACACAGTTTTACGTCGTGTCCGGGACCAATCAATGATGACGACTGACGAGAGACGGGAGAGACGATTGATGAAGGACGAGGACTACAGACGAACTTCTTGACGACTGACAGAAGGACAACTAGAAATGACAACGGAAACTGGGAGTGAAGGCCACGCGGGACGAATCCAGAACTTGAAGTGTACAACAAATATAATATATCATCGCTGCCACCAATATCGTAACTTTACTTTCTCCACCTGCTCCCAGCCCGTGCCATCTCCACACTCATACAATGGATGACGAGATAACTAAATTTATTAGAAAGACTGTTTATTACAAGACGACTACGGAAACACAACTAGACGTGACGAACTCAAGACGAATATTGCTTTTCACACCACAGCAACACGCGCATGCACCAACACCACGTACACACGACGTACACAAAATAACGTACAACACTAAGAACTCAGACTGATGTTGTAAATCATTCGCATATACAACGCCCTACCTACAGTATCTCACACAAAGCGATAGAACTTATTATATTTTTTACAACACTTATTAAAAACCACCCACTGGCATGCTATTTCTCATAAACCCCACACTTTTTGGCCACGGTGTTCGTATTAGTCACAAATAATTATGATCATGACTGATCTCAGTTTGATCTACAGTGATTCACTCTCCCCCACTATGACTAGACAAATTGAAGGGGAAAAGGTGTCACAAATAACCCCACAACTCATAAAGTACTGATACATTCAAGGTCAAATTCAAACTAGACATGTTATACTCAAAACCATGTTAAGGGCTAGTAGTGCCTTTGGCATTCATTCTCATAATTATACTGTTGACAGATCAATCATAGCAGTTCCAGGGCGCTTCTCAAAGAGATGACCGAATAAAAACCATTGCATTGAGAAGCTGCTTGGAACCGTAGGAAATGACCCAATTGTAGCGTTAGGGTGTGGTAGTCATGGTGATTCATGTCCCACAACCGAGCTCACTCACATTCTTGATAGTATACCTCAATGGCGTAGGATTCGTGTCCTTTTGACAATTCGGTCACGGTGCACATACTGCCAAAAGTTACTTCTACTGGGTACACTATGAGGGGGAAATTGGCAATCTCCGAGTATTTTTTCTCAACAAACACCCAATGTACAGGGATAACAATGCTCAATAGTCTTACCTGGTCTAGATCCAGAAACACGGAAACTGGTTGGCTGGATGTCAGTGATATTAACCTCCTTTACTATGGTTTCCTCAACAGTAGTACCACTGGTAGTTTTGAATTTGCCAAACTCCGTATACTTTAGTGCGTAGCTTTTAGAACAGATCAGAAGGCAATTGTCTTTGCGCGTGCAAAGATTCTTATCCAGTATTTTTTGCAGAATCTTTTGGTCTATTTTCAGTTTGCAAAGCTTCCCCGTATGCCTCACGAACTCTGAGGGATAAATATTAACTTTATCCGTGGCGCTGCCCAATCCACATGACGTATCGAAAACTAAATGTGGCATTCCATTTCCAAGCTGAGCACAGGTACGGCTGCCGTCACTAGGAAGCGGGGCTGATGTGACTCCGTATCCAATAGTCATGCTCTGATTGTCGAGATCTAGGTCTACGTCAAAATCAAACTTGGGTGTCTCTGCAGCGAAGTAATTGCATAAATAAACACACACACACGAACGCACACACACACACACACGCACACGCACACGCACACGCACACGCACACACACACACACACACACACACACACAAACACACAAACACACAAAACGAACAGCTCGCCCATTTTTCCATGTTCCACTATTGCCTTGTTACACAACAATTACATGCAACGCACGGGCGGCGCAACGAGCACCCGGAAAGATCGATTTCTGCCCGCAGTTTCATTGTATGAACTTAAAAACAAAAAATCGAAAACGAGAAGGGTAGTGCGCTATCAGAGTAGGGGGGGGGGGGCATCAAAGTAGGGGGCGCTGCTCCCACCCCCCCCCCACCCCTTTGGCTAGTACCCTGAGCAACCTTATGGGCAAAGAAGTATATTACCTATCGTACTCGTGCAATTAGAGCCCTCTCTTGAATAGTGCCCTCTCTCGAATAATGCCCCAGTCTCGGAGAGCCAATAAAAAAATAAAGCCCTACCTTGAATAGTGCCCCCCCCCTTAAGGGCTTCTAACCAAGCGCGTGAGTAAGTTTGGTGCTGTTTTGCTAATTTTCTTGTCCATGGCACTCCACTCAGGGGCGTAGGCAGGCAGGGGGGGGGGGGGGTGCTTTGGGTGCCAATGCACGCCCCTCAGAAATTCCGATCTTGGGTCGCTGCTGGTTCGAAAGATACCATAATAGGCGGACCCCTGATCACATGTGCGACTCTGCACATCACACACTGTAAAAATCCCTGTTCAGACCAGTGAGTAGTAGGTATTGTACTAGTCCCTGGTTCAGACCAAGGTGTTCTAACATCTGAAACCAATCTACATGCTCCTAATTGCAGTTGACTATTTCGTCTGATGATTGGCCATTTTCAATGAAACTTCTGGTCCAGGGCAACTCCGGTTCGTACCTGCCTGTTGTGTCCTACCCCAGGTGGGTTCTACTCGGACTCATCCAGCTCGATCACACACACACGCGAGGCCATTACAAATTTCAGTTCATCTCAAACTCCATATCCGAAAAAGACCAAGCTCACGTGCGAGCATGCGCACTACATACATAATGGTCGCTGTCCAGGACATGACAATTTCCCCCTCACTAGTTGAGGCGAAGCATCTAGAACTATGCAATAGTAAACATATCAACATGCAATCTCACAACTCACAACTGCCGAGACATAATATTAATGATACACTATACACCATATACACACCATAAATATACAAAACTCAATCTGCGCTTTTGTTTTCTGTTAATGAGGCCGAACCTGATAGCAATGGAAATAAAAATTTCCAATCAGGCCCGAACGTACCTTGCCAGAGTGCTCAAACTGACAAGTCAGTGAGCTCTGCATAACGCAAACAGCAAAGGCCCCACGCAAGAGTGCTCAACTGCTACAAGAGCAGGAGCGAAATACTCAATCTGCGCCATAAATATATAATTATATACAATATCCAGCAGAGTCCAAAATATATCATTTTAACTCCACAGACTAGAATAGGTATATGAACTGTGTGTTCTGAACGTCAACCCCTTGTGAGTAGAGATTTTCGTGTACGGCCGAGAAGCTGGATCAAGCTCCAGTTGGTGATAGGCTTGGGAGAGATCCAATTTGGTGAATATATCTCCCCCCCGACAATTTTGCTAACATTTCCTCAATAGTAGGTAGCGGGTAGTGCTCCAAATCAGACTTGGCATTGATTGAGCGAGAGTAATCAGCACAAATTCGGATACTACCATCCGATTTCAGTACTGGCACAGTAGGCGATGCCCATTTCGAGTGCTCAACTGTGCGAATAACTCCCTCTGCTTCCAATTTCTCCAAAGCCTCCTCGTACTTCTCCGTGATAGAGAACGGTACGGGCCGCGCCTTGTGGAAAATTGGATCAGAATCATCCACTCTCAGGGTGATTTGAGCCGACCTCAGCTTGCCAACCTGAGTCGTATCGAACAGCTCCTCAAATTCCTCAATGAGAGCTCTCCTCCAACCATCCATTTGAACATGATTGACATTGACAATCTGTTTCCATGGTAGAGTAAATTGGGACAACATATCCCTGCCCAACAATGACGGACCACCATTATCCACCACACGGAGTAGTGTTGGTTTCTCCACACCATCAATGCTGACATTGAACTTCCCTTCACCAATACATTTGATTTCTGCCCCAGAAAAACCGGTCATGCGTACACTCGGTTTGGTTAAATTTGTACGAGACACCCCAAGTGACTCAAAATCATGGACAGAAATGATTGAAATGCCACTGCCTGTGTCGATTTCCATTACAACAGGAACATCATTCACAGCAATTTCAAATTTGTAGGAGGGAACAGATTTGCTCTTCAATTCGCCCTGATCCGAAATGTGGAACATTGGCATGCACTCAAGATCAAGAGATTCATGCTCACCCGCGTCATCAGTCACAACATTGTGCACCGACGCGCCTGACGTGGATTTCTGCCGACAAACACGCTCCAAGTGCCCCTTCCTGTGGCAGTGACGACACTCAGTGGCCTTGTGTTTGCACTTATTCGCCAAGTGTTGAGTAGACCCACGGCGGTAGCACAATCTCTGCTCTCGAGATTGTTGAGATTGAGGAGAAACACCAGACTGCGCCTGCGAAAGCGATTCCACTGGCCGGTGATTCACCTCGTGCACTTCCTGCTGAGAGGTCAGCTGCACGGCCGCGCGCGCCGCCGATTCCTGCGTCAAAGCTAGTTTGACGATGTCATTGAACGACTGTGCCGAAGTATCTTCTTTCGTCAATAAGAAATTCCGAGTGGATGAGCTGCTCAAGCCAGCAATAAACTGGTCTCGGAGCGCTCGATCGAGGTGATCAGCAAACTCACACCTCACAGCCAATCTCTTCAGACGAATGATGAAATCCGCAGTCGACTCATTTTCCTTCTGCTTCAACTGATGGAAATTGAACGTCGCCGAAACTTGCGAAATTGCAGGTTGAAAATACTTCCTCAAAAGATCGCAAATCTCTGACAGTTTCTTGTCAGCTACTTTCACTGGCAAACAGAGGCTCCTCAAAATCGAGTAGGCTTCCGCAGACAGCAAACTCACTAATACAGCCTTCCTTTTCTTGCTGGCAGCCAACTTGTCTGCAGCATTGGCCGAAGCAGCCACGGTTCCGATATCATTGGCAAAAAATAGAATTCAAGTCTTTCCTCAAACTCTTGAAAGTCGCCGCCGGTAAACGGCTGAAGCGATGATATCCGAGCCATATCTTCGTCGCCAGCTGTTGTGTCCTACCCCAGGTGGGTTCTACTCGGACTCATCCAGCTCGATCACACACACACTCGAGGCCATTACAGATTTCAGTTCATCTCAAACTCCATATCCGAAAAAGACCAAGCTCACGTGCGGGCATGCGCACTACATACATATGGTCCATGTCCAGGACATGACACTGCCGCTGTGCAGTATCACATCAGACCTCAGTAGACTCAGCACATGATTTGTATCGCACTCCGAATGTTTTGTTAGAAGCAAAGTATCATACAAACACGCCATTGGTAGAAGTAGCAACACAGTCCATGGAAAACACACACCACATATAGTAGTTTGCTGGCGGTATATTTTGTATACTGTAGTTCTGGCTGTTGATTGGCCGCGTTGGACATTGTTGAAAGGCAAAACAAATTCTTTCTTTCATGTGTTGCAAGTGTGGGTACAGCAGCAGAAGAGTAAAAGTAGCGTTGAAGTGCAGTTTGCGGTTTTGTGGGAAATATAGTGTACGTGTCACGTCCCTGGATGTAACAACTGCTGCCTGATAGTCCTGTGACAGCAGGATCTACGTAGTGAGCAGCTCTGTGCTGAGCTGTCTCGCCCTTTTGATACAACGTGGTTTGGTCAGTGTCTTGTCCCACGTGCTTAGCATGTAGATTGAGCGACATGCGCTTCCCAAGTAGGTGACCTGCCTTCTTGGCATGGCACATCATATGATCCAAGGCCGGAACCTGGTCAGGTTGGTTCTCGCGTGTGCTTAATTTCCTGGAAATGTGACTCCAGGCTTTGTGCAAAACCACGTCACTACGACGGTCTACAGGTTTCCACGATGCCTCAGTGCTTTGTGCAAAGAGCCAAGACTAACAGATAGGGGTGAAACGATTAGTTCGAATATTCGAGTATTCGTTCGAAAATCTCAAACGAGCGAGTATTCGAAATTTTGCACTCGATGTTTTTTTTTTTTTTTTTTTTTTTTAGTACTGGCATTCTATTTTTCAAAAACTCCTGTTGTACTGCTCATCGACTGGTATGCACGCATTACCTATTCGTGCCTTTGAGTCAGTATTTTATGACTTGGACGATGCGATCACCACGGCAAGTAACGTTATTTTGTTTTGAGATAATGAAAGTACTGGTGAAAATCGTTACTTTACACTCTGTACAAGACGTTGGCGACTTTTGTTCTATGTTCACAGATAATTTCTTCCGAATTAGTCGAGAACTCACAAATCTAGCGCTTTTGAATTTCGATAAAATACTCGAAATAATCGGATACTCGATCGAATATTATGAATGAGTGATCGGTTGGTCAAAATAGATACTCGTTTCACCTCTACTAACAGAGCTAAGTGCAAATAGTGCAGAGCGAAGACGAGCACACGAGCCCAAGCCGTCACCGCGCCAGGTCAAGGGTATCATGCAAGCAGAGCGAAGAACACCGCACCGCAGACCTTACCCATAAGAAGCCGCTGAGCAACGGCACGTTGGGTGAGCGGGCTCCCCAGCGTGACCCTCATATACGCACTTTGTACTCTGGCGTGGGTGAGCGGGCTCCCCATGTCCCAATTTGGTCCTTCTTCTCTCCATGTATTTCTTCCTGTTTCTTCTTGAATGATTACCGTACGGGTATTCTGCTTTTCTGCTGACTGGCTGCGCATATTCCGGTTTTACCCGTTCTACTATTTCCTGGAATTACCTCGTACCATTCTAAGCAATGATCACGCCATATCTCTAAATTGTGCTATAAAAGAAGCTCTCATTCTCTCCTTTACTTGAGTCGAGTCGAGACTCGATCTCAGCTCTTAGTCTTGGTTTTACTTTGAGCTCGTATTTGAATACTACTCACAACGTGAAGCTAACACTCCTTGTCTGTTGATCGTGTGGGGTTGAACTTGGACCAAGCCGACTATGCTGGTTGGCCCCTGGGTTGTGTTGGGCTCGTCGTGAGGCCACACATCTATCCAGTCGCCGCTCGTAGTGATTTCTGGGTCTGGTCACTGAGCGCGGGGATGCGACATACGTATGGTCAATGATGCCTTACTGCACTATCAAACACTACGAAGAGAAAAAAAGGGTTGAGAAATCAGACTTAAATTCGATGGAGAGTGTGATAATTCTGGAGAAAGTAGCTTCCAGGACTTAGCTCATCATTAGTTGGAAGCAGGGAGCAGTAAAATACCATAATCACTAGTCCCTGGTTGGAGGCTTGTCATTCGCTGATTGATCTTCAGCGTCAAGTGTGGGGCTATTTATGCTCCCCCTCCCCCTCGTCCCTCCCGCCGTATTGTGGATCAAATCATACGCATGAAAGGACCAACATATTAGTAAGTACTCTTGTGTGGGCATTCCCGCGTTGAAGTGTAGCAACAGTATGCTGCGTCCGCAGGTTCGCTTATGCGGAATGGCTTGGGTGAGAGGAGAGGATAGAGAGCAGCTCGGCAATCAAGTACTACTTTAAAAGAATTGGGAAAGCTTCCAATTTGTTCTACACATTTTCTTACTTCGCCATTCATTGCAGGATTTTCCACCGAAGCCTGTAGAAGAATTGAAAACAAACAACAAGCATTCATGCGTACACACGCACAAACAAACACACACATGTGCACACACACACACACAAAAATGCACAAACGCACACACGTTATACATATATGCACTTAGAGTGGTGGCAATTGAAATCCGCCCCTCGCTCAGTGTGCTCAGAATGCAAAGACTCAGAATGCAAAGATCCAGAATGAAAAGACCCAGCATGCAGACCCAGCACGCGCCTGTACACTTCCAACCTGATACCGCTAGAGTTGGTGCTGCTCTCGAGGACGATAATCAAGGGTCGATTTTCACTTGCCAACATTGTATATATCACAGGCATGTTATTGCATGATATATGAGAGCCTTCTTGGCACTAGAACCAAGCCATCTCTCAAATTCTTGGCCTCCCTGGAAAATTAATTCGGAGTCTCCTTTATTGATCTTTGCGGGGGTCCCAGACAAGGTAAGGATAGCAGAGCCACTGCCATTCTTGTGGAAAACAGCCCAATCGGCCCTCAGAATAATGATAACCGGAATCGAATTTTTTTAAGATGAGTACTCATATTCTATCATTCAAACCGGGGAAAATTTGCCCTGCCCAGAAGAATCTTCTGACACCTATTGCTTCTGAGCCATCTTACAGAGTGGAGCTCCAGCAATGGTCAGTGTGACCGCTTCTATCATATCTGCAGCTCCGTCAGGCGAAATAGCACGTCATAGTACATTCGAGATCAGCGGGAAGAAGATGACGACGTCCACTAATTTCGTATCTGTGCACACGAATCTGCTGTGTGTGTTACTCTGTGTGTCAGCTATGGCATCATCGCCTGTGGTTCCATGCCTAGCATGTACGTCTGAACCATCCTGCAAAGTTTGAATGACGTAGGTTGAGCGATCGCTCCGCGAAACATACTTTTTGAAATTCTCTTCATAGTATATCTTCCACCATTGAAATTTCGAATTTCTTCAATTTTTTTGCTGAGAGGGGTGGCTTGCAACCTCGATATGGCTTGTTCCAGGCATGCTTTGGAGCCATTGCCTGTTGAAGCAGTGGCGGGGATCTGCCCTGCAACTGCTACAACAAAAAATGATTCGATCTGAGAAAGGGTGAGACCGCGAATCTCGGTTGAATATTGAGTATTTCAAGCCTTTCCACGACGAAGATGGAGTTCTTTTTGGAGATGGACGTCGCGGCAAAGGATTTGTCCAACTTCTGGCGTCTGGTGAAGCCAGGGATCATTTGTCCAGTCAGGTTGGCAGCCTAACCGTCGGTAAGCTTGTGTTTGGATCCCGTTCTGCTCGATGTGGTAGAGCCCAAACAATTTGATATCGTACAAATTGATCTCAGCATCGTGCGTATGGTATTTTATATTCAGAAAATCCCAAAGTGTCTCTGTGTGGCCGTCCTATGCCACGAGAAACTCCAATCAGGCTCCTATGTCCTCTGCCTTCATGATTGAATGTCCACTTCGTTTGAACAACGAACACAACAATCGAGGACGGCTTTGCAATGAAAAATACAGCTATACTGGAGCTGAAAAAAAGAAGAAAAAAACGTGCTCAGGATGAGACTCGAGTACACGCATACTCTCCCAGCTGGTGAAACGCAAATATTTGTGAAAAATGCGTGTCGCCGACTGACCAGTAATTTCGCCTGACGACTTGCACTTTGTAAAGACAGAAATTTGAAAATTGTTGGCATTTCCCATTTCAGCGCTGGGGCAAAACGTGACTGCAAGGCTTTGATCAACACATCATCGGAACGCTGCATCATCTGCCTTCCATAATCAGTATAGCCATTCAAGGATCCAAGACTTTTCATCAAGTTAGGATACTATTTTGTCTAGCTAGCGAATCTCCCTCTCTCTCTCTCTCTCTCTCTCTCTCTCTCTCTCTCTCTCTCTCTCTCTCTCTCTCTCTCTCTCTCTCTCTCTCTCTCTCTCTCTCTCTCTCTCTCTCTCTCGTAATAACTTGTCCATAAAATAAACTTACATTCGAAAGTTCTATTTTTGTTGCCAACTGGAAATGGAAGAGAGAAGAACAAACAAGAGAAAGGTGAATACATGTAGACAATGCCATTGCTACGCATTATAAGTATATGTACACTGGTACAGCCCGTACCTGCCAAGTACTGAGAGTGCTTTTTCTGGACCGCCAGGGCAAAATCTCTGGGTTTTCGGGAAATATAATATTTTTCCAAAATTCTTTATTTGAACATTTTTGAGATTAACATTTTGAATTTCCTTCTGATCTTGCTCGACGATTCTTTCAACTGACAACTGATAACCAGCAGAACATGTTCATGTACTGCATGATCTGGGACATCTCCAGAAGTGGGTTCATTGTTCTGGAAATGCGTAGGGGTACCTGGCATAAGTAGGATATGACCCTCGTAGTCGGGTTATACCGTACCCTCATATAAATCCCTCCTGCAATCGCAGTCGGGATTTATATTCAGCCGGTATAACCCTCTGACTCGGGTTATATCCTCTACATATACTCCGTTTGACACCACAGTGGTGTTAGCAAGAGTACATAACCCCCGGGAGTGTGCAACTCCAGCTATGGGGTCTGCGACGGCAGAACTTCACACCACGCGATGAACCCATACACATTGTTTGCACTCTGTGCATGATAGATACAGGGTTGTACACCCACCTAGCTTTGGGTACACCTCTCTTGTGGTCACTTTGCACTGTTTGCCAGGGTAACCTTTTGAACCATGTCACGTGATGTGAAGTTCTGCTGTCGCAGCACTGCATAGAGGTTGTGCAGGCAGTTACACACTCTTGGGCGCTATATACTCTTGGTGTTAGTGGACATTATAGCGTAACTTGCAGTTCCGTGGTCCTTTTTCTTTTCTATTAAAAAATACACACACATGTGCACATGCACATGCGGACCCACAAGCTTGTGCATGTGTTGTAGTGGTAAGTGATGTTGGTGAATGCGCGTGTTGCTGTGGCGTGAAAAGCAGTCTTCGTCTTAGATTGTCTTGTCTAATTGGTTTTCTTCGTTGTTTCAATAGACAGTCCTGTAAACGTTGTTATCTCGTCGTCCATTGTCTGAGTGTAGAGATGGCACGGAGTTGGTAGCAGGTGGAGGAAAGTAGAGTTACAGCATTGGTGACAGTGGTGGGGTTTTAATCCACGCCTCCGGAGAGACTGGAGTGCCAACTGGCACACAGAACGCATCAAAATTCAAGCAAAAATAACTTAAAACGCGGGTATTGAGCCAATAATAAATGGAGAAAGGAAAAAGAATATATGGAAACGAGTTAAGTGTAACTAGTTGGTGCCTAGTTGGTGCACTTTCTGACTATAATATAGTACCTAGTTACAGTGATGGAGAGTTACTCTTAACTCGTTTCCATAATTATTTCCTTTTTCCTTTCTAAAAATGACTTACGTTTTACTTCCGTACAACCTGGGTCAAGACCTACAGTAGCAATTCCAGGCAGACACAGCAAACACATCACCACTTTAAGCGATCATATAGGCACTTAAATGATGGCATTGTCATTGTCATTGGCACAGAACAATGCAGCGGCAGCAATGAAAGCTTGGTGTGACTTTCATAGTTTCGTCAAATGGATCTTGAAAGATGAAACTCGGATGGAGAGCCAAGGATTAAAATAAAAAAAGAGAAGAGAGGATCATAAGTTTACAAGCTATCCGTTTTGTCCAACACTAACGATTATAAGCCTTTTAAAATATTTGCGCCTTAATCTTCGCGCCTAAGATGCGCCATTATGTTTCCCCCTTTTTGCTACAAAAGGGTGAAGTTCACTATCTGTTAGCCATTCTAAGCAAGAGGTGCAACCTGTGCCTGGCAGAGAAATTGGCAATCGCGCAAGCACCCAAGCACCTCTCTCTCAACAAAAGGAGTGAGCTTGTGTCGAAGTGTCGCCATGAGAATAGGTACTACCTTCGGAACTTTAAACCAGCTACAGCCATCACCTAATTAAGTAAGAGACAACCAGCTCCAGTGGTTGTCACCTTTCACCACTTGCTGTCATTCACGCTTTGCACTGCCGCTATTTACACTTTGCTTTGTGAGGATATAAACCAATACTGATCCAGATTTCCAATTACTGTTTTCTGATGATCGCTTAGTGCGTGAAACTCTGAGTAAAAACACTTCCTCTGTCCTCCTATTGTTTGAACCAGCTCTACCACTCGGTATTGAGCACTCTCTTGGACAGCCTGGAACCTCTCTGTTTTGTTAGCCATTCTATATTATCAACCTTCACTGACGAGATCCTGATGATCGAAACAGCTGTTGTCTGAAGGAGCAGAGTACCAACTGACGTGTCGTTTTGCTGATGGTGTGCTGAGGCACCGTGTTGAGGTCGGCCGGAGAGCGCATCGGTGTGGTGTGGTGGTTGATAAGAACTTACGATTCTACGCAGGATAATGATGAGTCACAATGTGCAACAATTAGCACAAAACTGACTGATGTGACACTGACATTCAACGACCTGATGCTTAGCTGCATCATGTCTGGAATGCGCAAAGCAACAGCCTTCCCACTTGGAAGGTCGTGAGTTATGAAATAACGTAAAAGGGGGGAAGGTGAGCACACTCCAGACGAAAACAAACTAAACATCAAAGCGAACTAAGAATGTTAGCAATGACAAAAAATGTTTTAGACTTGGACTGCCTAGCATACTGTAAACAATCACTGTAGAGCATTTGAACATACACCCAACTTACAGTTATAAGTAGGAGTGTTTGGCACTATTTTTCTGGGGATACCTACAGCAGAAAGCAAAACGGCAAAAGGAGGATTATTCAACTTTACGCATCACACCAACATTGCTGTCTTAAGTTGACCACGACACATTGCAACAGCACACCATCTGCAAAAAAACACGTGAAATATGTGGCATTCTCATCTTATCACTTTCAATATTAAACTCGGATGTTGAGCTAATGATGAAAAGGATAAAGATTTGAAATACTTGCTGCTAACATTAAAATTCTGTGGCAGTGTACATGAATAGCTGCAAAAAGAAGCAGTACCTGGGCCCCATCCTTGACTGGTGGTTACTGAATTGGACGGGTTTGTTTGCAGACCAGTAGATGATGGCACGTCTGGTGCTGTGGTACCACTAGCACCATTTCCATTAGTTGAGTACGTAGCTACACCAGTTGGATTTGTCAATGCCTGTGTGTTTGGCACCTGGGTGGAGATTCCTGAAGGAGTTGCAGCACCTGTTGGAAGAAAACAATAGAAGCATATTTAAATATAA